GTTGTTTTCCAAGCCCTGATATCCCATTTCCCTCTTTTTTCCTGCCCAAATCCTGCTCCAAGGCCGTGCACCAAACACCCTCTCAATGCTCCTGAGGGATGGAGGGAATGCTTTCCTTGGAAAAACCCAGAGCCAGGTCACCGACAGCCCTAAAAAGACCAGGAAAAAAAATCCCTGGAATGTTTCCTGGCAGCTGCCGGCACATTAAGAAGGATGTTTTTAGGAATAGCAACTCCAAGCGTGGAGAGTGAATCCTGCTCTGATTCAGGGAGTCTGGGGAACACTCGATCCCCTTCCCATCCCTTCTTCCTTTTCCTGCCTCTGCCAATTCTGCTTGGAATTCCCGGAGCTGGAACGAGGGAATGTTCCTTCCAGCAGCCACGAGAGGGCTCCCGGCGCAAACACAAACATGCCCTGGCTGTGCCAGGAGCATCCCGGGGCTTTGTTTTCCCTCCCGGATCCGGCATTTCCCTTGGCTGGGAATGGCTGAGCTGGAGAGAGACCTGGAAGCACCGGGGATGGAGCTTAAACTTCCCGATTTCTTGGAATCATGGAATGGTTTGGGTTGGAAGGGACCTTAAAGATCATCCAGTTCCAGCTCCGGGGACACCTTCCACTATCCCAGGTTGCTCCAACCTGGCCTTGGACACTTCCAGGGATCCAGGGGCAGCCACAGCTTCTCTGGGAAATCCATTCCAGCCCCTCTCCACCCTCCCAGCCAGCAATTCCTTCCCAATATCCCATCTATCCAAATATTCTCTGGCAGTGGGAAGCCATTCCCTGTGTCCTGTCCCTCCATCCCTTGTCCCAAATCCCTCTCCAGCTCTCCTGGAGCCCCTTTAGGCCCTGGAATGGACTCCAAGATTTCTGTGGAACCTTCTCTTCTCCAGGGGAACATTCCCAGCTCTCCCAGCCTGGCTCCAGAGCCAGAGGGGCTCCAGCCCTGGGAGCAGCTCCGGGGCCTCCTCTGGATTCTTTCCAGCAGCTCCACCAGCAAATCCAAGGATCCCCATTTCCTCGGGAACTTTGTAACACTGAAACAACCCCCCAAGTTTTTTAGGACACTTCCAACCCTCCCCAGCACTGCAGGATCTGTACCCCAGGGGTTGGTGTCCCAACGGATCCTTGGATATTCCTGGATCATCCCCAACAATTCCAGCCTCCCCCATCTCCCAACTGCTCCTTCCCAGACTTAATTCCTATAAATTCCCCTTCATTTCCCTCCCTTTCTCTTGTTCTTTTTCCTCTTTCTTCTTTCTTATCATAAATATTTTTCATTTTACTCCCCCTTTAATTCAAATTTTTCACTTTATTCCCACTCTAATTTTCCCTTTTCTCCCTTCTCTGTTTTCCTTCTTTTTTTATTTTCTCACTTTTCCTTCTTTTTTATTCTCTCCACTCCTTTCATTTTTTTCCTTTCTATTTTTTTTTCCTTCCTGCAGCAAATCATTCCTTTAGAAAAACAGCTTTTCTTTGGCTGAAAATAGCAGAATAAACCCAGGAACGGATCCTTGGATATTCCAGGATCACCCCCCCAACAATTCCAG